ATACTGAAAGCTGTAGTCTTTGATCTTCATCAGTAACTGCTTCAAGTCCTCTTCACTTTCAGCAAGCAAGGTTGTATCGTCTGCATAACGCAGGTTGTTAATGAGTCTTCCTCCAATCCTAATGCCCTGTTCTTCTTCATATAGTCCAGCTTCTCATATTATCTGCTCAGCATACAGACTGCATAAGTATGGTTAAAGGACACAACCCTCACGCACACCTTTCCTGATTTTAAACCGTGCAGTATCCCCTTGTTCTATTCAAGACTATAACCTACAAATGGTGAGTCACAAAAGTTACCCTAGCAGTTAGATACTGCATTACTAAAGCAAACAATTATATTCCATTATTAGATTTCACCTGGTTGCCAACCTTTCAGGTTAATATAATATAAACTGCATGTTTAAAACACTGTAGAAATAAAGGCTACTGCTGCAAACTGATACTCACTTGTATCTTAAGGTAGATGTATGCATAACTCATCAGATGAGAAAGGTCAAAGATACCGAAATTATTCTTTTATTCTGTCAAAACTTCTTAAAGAAAGTTTCTAAAAAGAAAACTTATTTAAAATGAATTATAAATATAATGAAAATTCAAATAAAAAGCTTCTCATCTTACCCTGTCTAATTCCAGTGTAAACTTCTGGTCCCATGACTGATTTGAAATGGGTTTCCAGCTAGTTTGACCAACCACAGTATTATCTAGCTTCAAAAAAGCGCAGATGTCATCTGTAATTAAAATTTATAAGCTTGCTTAAAAACTTTAAAATAAAAGTACTACTGTTTACTAGCAACAAAAGTCTTATGAAGCTTTGAAAATAAGGTTTTTCATAACCAACACTGACGCTTTTAAATATTAAATGGCTAGGTTTATACATACATACACTTCCACAAGACCCTCCTGAAATGTCCCTTGTGTTTGATAAAAAACACAAATAGTAACCGCTATCTACTTTGTTTATATTAGAATGTGACTGAAAAGACAGTGGCTGGCAGTAGCTGTTTGCAATACTGTGTGTGTGTACCAATATCAATTATACTGTTTTTTTCCCTTCTATAGTTCTATTTCTGGAGGTTGCTGCCTTAATGCTTCACTTTCACATTTTTCCCAAAGCCTCTCTCTAGACACAGGGAAGCACAGACATACTCACTTTTGTAGTCTATACTAGGTTTAATTGTCACCTGCCTTTCACTCAAGTTATATATTTATATCATAATCTATAATTATATTTTAGTATGTCCTCAAAGTGCTCTGTGACCCTTTTGCATTTTATGCAAATGCTCACACAGCCTGCTCCCCGCCACCCCCATTTAAGGTACTACTGGGATACTACGTTGGTATCCCAGTAAACATGTTTGGTCTAGTGGTCAGTATTAGTGTTATCAAAATTTCCGTGTTAGCTTGGAAGTGTCACAAAACCATTCAAAGAATCAAGAAGTATTTCCATAAGAAGTACACATCTCATTGCGTCTGTAAACCTTTCATTTGGCATATAGACTGATGCTCGATATTTCATTCTTCCATAAGAATTAATGCTATATGTCATGTAGTCTTCTAATATACTTTCAATAAAATAAACTTTGTTGCCTTTTTGTTTTCCTGTCCTTTTAGTATTTTACAGTTAAATTTTGGAGATAATAATTTTAAAATTTTGTCTAATTTTGACTCTTCCCATTGTTCTCTGTTCCCACTGCTAAGTTTCTTATGTAGGCCTTTTGTTACATAATTAAGAAAATGTAGTTACTGAACTGGACAAGTCATCAGTTTTTAGGAGATTTCGACTACTTCCGCTTTTACTTTTACTCGTTCTGCTCATGAACGATGATCTGGTTTCACTTGGACTCCAGCCAGGTAGTGCAACTGATGCTGCTTTTGATCGTCCAGGGACATTCTCTAGGATATCTTGGCAGCCCATAAGACGTACTTCCAAAGTACCTGTTAGCATAAACAAATATCAAATAATAAAATCAATTCTTAATATACAGAATTATGTCTCTTAACCTAGTCATAAGGAAAAAAAAACGATCTGCTAAAATAAACTATTCTCTGAGAGGAGTTGTGAGGTAACTATCATTTTTCCTGTTATAATTAGAGAAACTCACTGAAAATTCATAATTAAGGCAACTGCAAGAAATGTTATGGAAAAGAACAGTACTTCTCAAGAGGTATCTGCAGCGTATAAAACAAAACAAGTTATAGAAACTTCTTGTGTATCTAAATATTTGGTTCTATGAATTTCATGGAAGAATTACAGAATCCTGTGGCTAGAAAATGAGATAGGTGAAAATTAAACCAAAACAATATGCCTATTACAATACACATAAGAAATTAGAAACAAGGAAATCTGACTATGTGAATAACAGCTGTATTTAGCAGTTATATAGTTAGCATAGAAAAGGACTTTATGGGTTTTTTTTTTTCTGCATAAGTAAACTTTTGTTCTTTTTCTATTTGAGATGTAAAATTACATTATCTTTTCATTCTAATAGTTTATTTAGTCAAATTAATTATGAGGTGCAATTTCCTCAGGCACATAAGCACTAAAGGTGTTCACATGAAAATGAGAAACTGAGTTAGGCCACCTGGAGATACGGTTTTGTCATCATTTGGCTAGACTTGGTATACTAGAAATAACAAATGGTACTTCAGTATTAAAGAAAAAAAAAAAACAGTGCATATAGCATAATACTTTAGAAAGAACATTTCCTGGTAAGGGCTGTCTCATTAAATTTAAATTATTAAATTATTTTATTTCATATTTTAAAATTATTTAAAAGTAACTGAAGGACTTTCATTTCCAAACAAGAATCAGTAAAAATGACTTGATGTACCCTCCCAACTGAAACTACTAAAAAATTAGACAAAATATATGAAAAACCAGTTTTAAAGATATCGGATATTAGGTGATAAAGAACAGTGAAACCTGAGAGATGGGAAACAAATGAGACGAGCCCTAAGACTGCCCCAGTTTACTGTCTTATGTTTCCAGGTCACAGTGTAGGGAGGGGAAGTCCCCATCTCCTTACTGGCTGACAGCCAGGAGCTGTTCTCAGTTTCAAGAGGACACCTGAATTCCTTATCATGTGGTCCCCTCCACTGTTAAACCTGCAATGGCAGTTCAAATCTTTCCCACAATTCAAATATCTAAATTCCCCTTTTGCCACCAGCCAGAGATAATGTTCTGCTTTTAAAAAATTGTGTGATTAGATTTGGCTCACCCAGATAACTGTCCTTTAGATTAACTCAAAGTCTACTGATTAATAACTATAATCACATCCAAGAAATCCCTTTTGCCAAGTAAAAATGTAATTATGAGAGTGATGTCCTATTATATTTACAGGGGAAGGAATTATACAAGAATGAGGGTCTACAAGGGTCAATCTTAGAGCCTACCACAACTGGCAAGCAAAGAAACAAGAAAATTCGATCCATAATGAGAAAAAAAAAATCAATGAAAACCAATCCAGAACTGACATAAATGTTAGGGTTGGGAGACAAGAATATTAAAATGGTTATTATAACTGCAATCCACCTGTTCAAAAAGCTGAAGCATAGAAGATATAAAAAGAACCCAAACCAGACTTCTGGAGATGGAAACTAGAATGTCTGAGATTTAAAACAAACCCCCCAAAAAAACTAGACGGGCTTGGTGGCAGATTAAAAAAAAAACCCAAACCAAACTCGTTGCCATCAAGTAGACTCAGACTCATAGCGACCCTGTAGGATAGGTAGAACTGCCCCTCCGGGTTTCCAAGGCTGTAAATCTTTACGGAAACAGACGAACAACCACATCTTTCTTCTGTAGAGCAGCTCTGACCTTTCGGTTAGCAGCTGAGCACTTAACCACTGTGTCACCAGGGCTCCAGTGGCAGATTAGACACTGCAAAATAAGAGGTTAGTGAATTTGAAGATAGCAATAGAAACAACCAAAAATGGAGGACAGTGCATATGTGAACTGTGAGCTTAACTTCAAGTGGTCTAATGTATGTATAGCCCAAGTCCCTGATGTGGAGCAAATAAGGAAAAGAAAATATATTTGCAAAAAAAAAAAAGGCAAAAATTGTCCAAATTTGATGATGAAACTCATATCCATGAAGTTCAATGAACATCAACTAAAAGAAACATAAGTAAACCATACTAAAGCACATGATAATCAGATTTCTCAACTTAGCGGTAAAGAGAAAAATCTTAGAAGCAACCAGAGAAAAAAAGATGTTGCATATATAAGATTGGGATGACAGCATATTTCTCACTGGAAACAATGCAAGCAAGAAGACAGAGAAGCAGTATCTTTAAAGTACTCAGGGGGTGGGAGGGATACAAAACAAATAAACTGTGTACTCTGATTCCAGAATTTTAAACCCACTGAAAATATCCTTCAAAACTGAAAGCAAAATGAAGACATTTCAGACATAAAAATGTGAAAAGAATTCATCCTCAGGAGATCCACATTACAAAACATGTTAAACAAGGTCCTCAAGATAGGGGAGAAAAAAAAGATACCAGACAGAAATATGATCTTAGAAAGGAATGAACAGCACCAGAAATAATAACTACTACATATGTAAATATGTAAGAATTTTTTCTTAGCTCTTAAATCTCTTTTAAAGAGAATTGACTGTTCAAGCAAAAGCAGTATCAATCAACTGTGGAGTTTACAACGTATGTATAAGTAACATATATGTCAACAATAGCATAATGGCCAGGAGAAGAGAAATAAAACTATACTATTATAAGGTTTATATACTATATGTGAAGCAGTCTAACATCACTTGAAGGTGGGTCATGATAAGTTGAGTATTATAAATAAAAAAGAACTACTAAAATGACAAAACAGAGTTACAGGTAACATGACAACAAAGGAAATAAAATGAAATCATAAAAAATACTTGAGGTAGAGAGCTTCTGACATGGTTTCCATTGATCCTCAATTCCTGGTATTGTGTAATCCCCTCCCTTTGATTGTAGACAAGACCTAGGGACTTACATCTAACATACAATACAGCAAAAGTGCTAGAATATTACTTTGTGGTTAGGTTACAAAGACTGACTTCCATCTTGCTAGCACTCTCTCTCTTAGTTTTCTCAATTGCTTGTTCTAGTGAAACAGGGAGGAGAGCTCCACGAAGCAAGGAACTGAGGGCAGTCTGCAACCAACTGCCAGTGAAGAACTGAGGTCCTCAGTCAAAGAGCCCTCAAGAAATTGAATCCTACTAACAACCATGTGACTGAGCTTGGAAGTGCACCCTTCCCCCGTCAAATGTTACGATGGGACTGGAGCTATGGCTAACACCTTCACTGCAACTTTGTGGAAGACACTGAAGCAGAGGAGCCAGGTAACCTGTGTTTAGATACCAGACACCCACGGATACTGTGAGGTAATAAATGTGTGTTATTTTATGGTATTGAGTTTTGGGGTAACTGCTAGAAAGTAACAGATAACTAACATAATACTCAATGCAAAAAGAAGGCTGAAAACGAAGGAATTAAAGAACAGATGCATCAAGCAGACATAATACTTAAGTTAAAAGTAGATGCGTCAAGCAGACATACTTAAGTTAAAAGTAAAGAAACAGAAAAAATTGTATCACTCTAACACTAATCAAAAAGACTGAGTGGCTATGTTAATAACTGACAAAGATTTCAGAGCAAAGAGTACCACCAAGGAAAAAGAGAGTCATTTCATAATAATAAAAAAATAATTCATCAAGAGGACATAATAAGCCTAAATGTTCATGCAACTAACAGAGCTTCAAAGTACACAAAGCAAAAACTGATAGAACTTCAATGAGAAATGGGCATATACATAATTATAGCTGGAGATTTCAATAGCAATCTCAAGCACTGCTGAGACACTACAGAAGACCTAAATAAATGGAAAAATCTACAATGTTCATGGGGTAGAAGATTGAATATTGTTAGGGATCCTTCTCCCAAAAAGATGTACAGATTCAACATAATCCCAGTGAAAAACCCAAATGGCTTTTTTTTTTTGTAAAGAAGTGACAAGCTTTACGTGCACGTAGAAATGCTTATGGAAATGCAAAGGACCTAGAGTAGCCAAATAGAGTTTTGTAGGACTAACACTAGCAAATTAAAATATTTATCAGAAAACTACGATTATCAAGTCACTGTGCTATTGGTATCAAGACAGGCAAATAAATCATTGGAAGAGAATAGAGTCCAGAAATAAAACTAGACTCTTATTAGTTTTCACCAAAGATATAAAGACAATTCAATGGAAAAACTATAGTCTTTTCAACAAATGTTGCTGGACAACTGGATGGATATCCATGAGAAAAATGAGCTTTGATCCACACCTTGAACCATATAAAAATTTTTAACTCAAAATGGATGAGAGACTTAAATGTAAAACATAAAACTATAAAGCTTCTAGAATAAAATATAGGGGGAAATCTTTGTGCGCTGAGCTTAGACAATGACTTCTTAGATAAACAACACTCAAAGCACAATTCCTAAGACAAAATAATTGATAAATTGGACTACACTGAAATAAAAAACTTGTCTTTGAAGACACTATTTATAAAAATGAAAAGAGAAGCCAGAGACTGAGAGAAAATATTTATAAATCATTTATCTGATGGACTTATATCTAGAATATATAAAAAAATTCCCCAAACTCAATAATAAGAAATAAATAGCCTGATAAAAAATGGGCAGAAGATCTGAACATGAAGAAGATACATGGATTACAAATAAGCACATGAAAAGATGCTCAATATCATTAGTCTTTAGGTAAGTGCAAAGTAAAACCACAACAAGACAGCACTACTCATATAGTAGAGTTTATAAAATTAAAAAGACTGACCATGCCAAATGTTGGCTAGGATGTGAAGCAACTAAAACTCTCATACACTGCTAGTGGAAATGTAAAATGGTACAATCACTTTGGAAAACAGTTTGGCAGTTTCTGA